CTCCATATTCCCCCAATGGGCGACCTCGTCGTTGTTAATCGCCTTCCGGCTTCTTCGGCGAGCCACGATGTAGTCGTTCACCCCTTCCCAGTTCCCCACTGGGAACGGAGGGTAAGGGAATGGCTGGAGAGGGTTACGGGAAGTCACCCCCTGCTGTGGGAGCTCGCCCCCTCTGAGACCAGCCCCACTAGTTCCCTCGGATGGAGGTGGCGGGATCTCAGGTGGAGGGGAAGATAAAGTCGGCTCGGCAAATCCGAACTCAGTACCCCCCGAGGGGGGAGTTTGGTCGGGACGCGACCTGTTCACCTTGCGCCTCTGGTTGCTTGAAAGAAGGCGGCGTGAGTCGATACCAGACATGATAGCTGCCAAGAAGAAACCACAGTATTAGTTCGGTAAGAACGAGATACATATGCGTATGAATACAATGTCGTGACAAAAACCACGCGACCTAAAAGGACAACCTACCCGGGCTCAGGCCGGCTTGCACGAGCTTCTCCTCGGCCAAGTTGTCAGAACAGAGGAAGCCTATTGATGCCTAGGACAACATCGTTTTCTGAGTTTCAGGGTCCAGTTCGACCCCGGAGTCCTGGATGGCACCCCTCCAAGAAGTAGGGAAGGGCCACCCTTCGGGGTTGCGGACCAAAAAATAATCCCGCTTCTAGGCGGGGATTTTCTTTGGGAGCTCATGCAAGAGCTTGTACCCACGGCGGGGAGAGAAGTAGTAGAGACGCCTCTCCGGCGGAGCCCCGGGAGTGGCATTTTTTATACAGAGGATAGCGGAGAAGATGTCCAGACTCAAGGGAAGACAGTATTCCCAACACAAGGATATCGTCCCAACCAAGTTCCGGATGGCATTGGGATGGAGTTGGTCAATAGTGACATTGAAGTGGTTTAGCACCTCCACTATCAAGGGGTGCAGGGGGGAGATGCATGCCAGCCTCGAGCTGTTCTTGATAAATGACTATATCATTAGGGCCATGCTCCCACAGAAAGTTTCCAGTGGGGATGCAGTAGAGAAGGTCCCTAGGAAGGTGAAAATAGCTAATCAGAGACCTAAGTCTCCCCTCTGTCATTGAGGAAGGGCCGAAAGTATCGGGCTCCCTTCCTCGCGAAGTGGAAGCTCCTTCGCCGGAGACCTCCCTAGCCCCCGGAACCTGCTCTCAAGCTCCCCCCGAGCTCGAGGGAGCATCATCATCCTGGTCACTGCCCTGGTGACGGACATGGTACGGGTATCCCGACATGACTGACAATAAGTAAGACTCAATGAAAGGGGATGGGATGAAATAAGTTGAGGAACTCGAGTAGACTTGACAGGTGCATGACCTTAGAATCCGAATACAACAAGATGGCGTGAAGGGAAACGAGGCCTAGAGGGCCCATCTATTTATAGCCCCCACATCTTCGAATCGATGGCCCAGATCAAAGTAGATCCAACGGCTCGCAGGCGCACTGACCGCACGCCTTCTGAAAACTGAAGGTGATTGGCGGCACGTCTTCCATGATTAAGGTAATGAGGGCTGCACGACGTTCGAAATTAAGAGCCACTTCAGCACGTTTTGGGAATCCAAAAAGTCAGAAAAGTCAGGAAATCTCTTGATTCCCGCAGATGCATTTAATGTGATTAGTCAATCAAGTTTGAATTTTGGTCAAATCAGTCCATCACGCTTCATGAACTCCTCGCGCTAAGGCAACACTCTCAGCTCAAGGAGTGGGGGGCAATTGATGGAGGACGATTTGACCCGACCTATGAAATGGTGACACGTGGACACTGACTCAGCACGAGCAACAGCTCAGTATTGTTGCCTAGTGCAACCAAGTGACGGGCCCATAAAGCAGCTCGCTGCGTCGTAGCTCACAAAAGGAGAAGCTCGCCACAACGCGAGCTCCGGGTTCCCCGAGCTACCTTTGAAGGGATACTCTGAGGCAACTTTAGCTCGTGAGTTAGGGGAACTAGCTCGCCTGAGCTCCCAAGCGGACAAGTCATCCCAAGGACCAATTCTATTAAAGGTAACCTTGAAGTATTCCTAGCTCGCCACAAAGTAGCTCACGAATGAGTCGCACGAGCACTCATCAGGAAGCTTCTATCTGATAGGCCATACCGATCAGACTGCTTTACGTCCCTTACTGACGGCGCAGTCCCTGTCCTTTCAACAATCTGCATCCACGTCTCTCAGCAGGTGGAGGCGTGTCTGCCACTTTGGGGACATGTCACTCACCCGGGCGAGGAGTACGTCACAACGGCCACCTGCGCAGCCCTGGCAGGTAACGGCTGTGGCAGGGACCCAGTGGCGGTCATGCCCGACCTGACAAGAACGCCCCTATAAAAGCTCCCAGGGCGGAAGAGAAACTTCTTTTGAGACTTCAAATCTCTCGAGTATAGTGATAAAGCACGACCTACACACTTAGCACCGCACTCTTCTTTCCTTCCTTCCTTCTTGCGTTCTAACTTAAGCATCGGAGTATTCCCATCGGATAAAATCCCCGGGAATCCTTCATTTTCATCTTCTCAGGTGCCGTCCGTTGCCAACAAGGAGCCAGTCAGTAGCCAGTTAGGAGTGCCCAGATCGTGCCACATCAAAATCTAATCCCCCCGCTCATTTCTCTGCAAATAAATCCATTTGGGTTCTTAGATAGATTAGATATAGTTCATACTATACAGTTTTTCTAACCAGTACTCCCTTTTCATTGTTCGTTCATTCATGGACACTACTGTGCATCACTTGTTCCTTTTGATCACCTTCTCATGCCTCTCCTCCATACTCGCACAATCAAATGTGTACATCGTCCACATGGACTTATCCGCCATGCCTGAAACTTTCAGTAGCCACGATAGTTGGTACATGGCTATGCTTTCTTCTGTATCTGAAAAAACTTATGCTGTTGTTTCTACGACCTCCAAGGCCTCTAAACTTATCTACACACACTTACAGCAATGCCATCCATGGATTGGCTGCAATTCTCTCCCCTTCCGAGCTCGACTTGCTTAAAAGCTCACCGGGCTATGTTTCCTCCAATCAAGACGTGCCTCTTGCGGCTGATACAACCCATACATCTGAATTCCTTAGGTCTGAACTCCAACTACACGGCATCAAATTATGGCGCCGTTGTCATATTGGGCTAGTCGGCACCGGAATTTGGCCAGAGAGTGCCACCTTTAGAGATGACGGAATGACTCAAGTACCATAACGGTGGAAAGGAGAATGTATGAACGGAACTGATTTTAATTCTTCTATGTGCAACAGGAAGCTCATTGGAGCTCGGTTCTTCAACAAAGGTCTAGCTGCCAACACACCCAGTTTCAGTACATCGATGAATTCCCCTCGTGATACCGATGGACACGGAACCCATATTTCTTCCACAGCCGCCGGTAACTACGTGGAAGGCGTTTCCTACTTTGGCTACGCCAAGGGGACTGCCAAAGGCATGGCCCCAAAAGCACGCATGGCCATGTACAAAGCTCTCTGGGAAACAGGCACCTTCGCATCTGATGTTATTGCAGCCATAGACCAAGCAATTGCTGACGGTGTCGATATCATCTCATTGTCCTTGGGCAGATACTCGTTGTCTCTGTATTAAGACCCCATTGCCATTGCTTCCTTTTCAGCCATGAAGAAGGGCAATTTCGTTGCCGCATAGGCAGGAAATGATGGACCTTTCAGACTTACCCTTCACAATGATGCACCATGGCTACTAACTGTTGATTCAGGTACAGCCGGTCGTGAATTCAGCGGAATCGTTACTATGGGATGGTGTTTCAGTGTCGGGTGCATCTTTGGACCCAGAAAATCATTCGCTGATCAACTTGCCTCTCCTCTCGTGGCGTGAATATCTATTTTCCCAAAAGATTAATCCATAAAGAAAGTTAATGGAGGATTAACCTTTGTTGGAGAATTATTGGGAGATTGGACGGATAGGGACAGGTGGCCTGATTTGAGTGGGTTAGTAGAGAGGAGAAGAAAATGTTAAAAGGAAATCCGAACCGTGGGCTGTTAGCTAGTGCACTATGTTTGGGGGGGTCCATTGGATATATGACAAGTGGCAAGCTATGACGCCCAGATTGCCACTGATTTCCACTGACCTCTGTTGTCTCCAGACCCCCCACCTTTTACTTGTTTTTGCAAGCACCAAGCAAAGCTTTGAAGAGGCTTAGGCTTCCTTTTTATACTATGTACACGCAAAATGTAAGAACGCATGAACGCATTATAATCTTTACCAGCTTACTGCATATTTGGTTTGATCTTCACTTAACTAATTGATCTGTGAGAAGCTATATGAAATCGGCAAGCACCCAATGAGGTTGGGAGTACAGAGTTGATATATATGTATTTAGTAACATTGCGATTTCTATCTGAATTCTGAAACGTTTTGGATTGATCATACAAATTGGTGAGAGTTCTATCTGAAACTTTTTGAATTGATCAATGAAAATTTCCGTTTCTTTCTCAAATGTTAAATTTAACGTTTCAACTATAATTGTCAAAGATCAGTTTACATATGCTTTTTTCTATTAAAATGACTCATATGATGTAACAAAATATATTTCTCTTCAGTTAATTTGTAATTGGTGTAAAAATAAATTAATTTACATTGATTAATCCAAAACTTTTGAGGTAGAAACAGCAATGGTACTAAGTAGAATCTACCATAATAGGTTAGGGCTGTCAATGGGTTGGGTCCGACCCGATGGACCCGGATTGATTAGACCAGTACTGGTTCTAGAATTTGTACCGATGGATCGATTCTGATTCCAAATATATTTTTCTGATTATTATCGGATTGGAACCGGGTCCACCATGTCCCGAACCGAGCCTATATATATATATATATATATATATTATTAAATATATAATTATAATATAAATTATATATATGTTGTAATATTTAAACAAAATATGTCTAAAATGGTAATTTCGGCAGGGTTTCTTTCAAAACCCTATCGAAATGTCATTTCACATTTGCTTGCCCCTTTCATTTCTTTTCATCGAAAGGCTGAGCATTAACCTCCGACGCCAAACAGTGAACTGTGATTCCGTGAATAGATAAAGACCGATGCCGAACAGAGAAAGAAAGGCCGACACCGTCCGTCCGTTCGTTTGTCATCAATCTCTCATGGTCAACGCCTCACCGTTTTTTCTCCTCACAGAGGCACAAAGTCAGTGAGTCACAGCACAGGTCTGTAAGTATGTATCATCATTCTCTCTCCACCATTGCTTATAGTTTCATACGATACCAATAGTGCCCTTTTCTCCTTCATTTCTTCTGGAAAAACAAGGACCCCACCCCATTCTAATTTTATTTAAAGAAAAATAATGGGGTTTCACCCTCTTTTTCTTGGTCATCCCTACATTTTTTCTTCTTATTCTTCTACATATTTTAGTTTATGATTCCATCACCATTTTAGCTCATTAATCTGCAAAATGTAAATAAAAAGTTGATAGTTAATAATTTACTATTTAAAAATTATGCACACTTGAAATTGAGGAAAAAAGTTGGTTGCTTTTAAGTTTTAATTTCTTTGTTAGTTCAGGTTCAGGTTATAGACTGCCATCTTGTTATGTGTTCGGATCAAGATTCAAGAGTCACTATCTCGACTTTGTCTGTTGGAACTTGTTATAAAGTTGGTATGCGTTTTATTCATATTTTTCCCTTTCTTTTCTTCCATTCTTCTTTTTTTAGCAATAAAGAACATTACTCAGGTTTATTCACTATTCATTTATTTATTTTCTTTGATTTGGTAGACGGTGATACTGTCAAACTGTCAATTGAAAATGGACAGCCCAGTAATGTTTAGGGCCTACATGCGCCTAGGTTTGTTACCATACCATAGCCTAGTAAAATTCAGCCTGGTTTGGCTAGATCTGTGGTCTACATTTCCTAAACATATTTGTTTGTCCTGATTTTCTACTGCATTTAAGGAACTGTGGATTCCAACATTTTATTCTAGTGACAAGATCAACTATTCCTTTTCCTAGTCCAAATCCTGACCTTGTTAACTGCTAAGATCTTAAATTATAGCTCCCTTCCCCCTTTTTATTTTGTGGATTTGGCATTAATTCATGATAAAGATTCTCCCCACTTGTAAGTGGAGTTAAGATTTCTAGGGGTGGATTGAACAGTAAAAATCCCTTTTCTCTAACACAAAGTCTTGCCCTAAAAATAAAATACTACTTCTATCCCATCCCGTTAATTGTGGCTCATTCGTTAATCAGAAGCTCCATCTGGTCGGACTTGTAATTTGAAGAATTTTCTAACTCGGTCCAAGCAAATACTGTAAAGACCAAAAGAACCAGATGAAGGTGCTGTTTGGCAAGTCTTTTTTAGAAGATTTCTCGATAAACCTGACAGTCTAAAAACAATGTGACCTTTTGTATTAAGATCTTAGCAGCTTGAAGACCATTTAAGACGCATCTTTCCACATGAAGATGAGTTGAAAAAAAAGGTGAAAAACTCCATTTGAAACTTCTCAAAAATAGCCTAAAATGAGCTTCCTGCAGCTTTCTGTGGCTAGATATTTTCCCAACCAAAAGAGAAAATACTAAAAGACAAGTTGACGGGCTTCTGAAAATCCAACAATCCGCACAAAAAAACATGCCAAATGGGGCCAAATTTCTACCTTTTATCCTTGTGAGCTTTCACTTGTAATTAGGGCTCAATTTGGTAGAAATACATACAAATACAAATTTATAGAATGCAAAACCTTATAATTTGTATTAACTGTTCGCTCCGGAAACTCGCTTGAGAATCCAAGATGAAGGGAAGCTTAAGTCTTGGTGGGTGGAGGAATTTAGCATCCAGTTCTAAATATCCATTATTCACCGAAGCACTATGAAGAAAATAAAAAACAAGTGCACTAGAAATGAAATTCTTTCCATGAGCACATCTCTTGTTTTTCTCAAGACAATAGGGGTCATTCAAATTTAAAAGATTTAGACCTCTGATATAACCTTAGCATGTAAACATTCACGCATTTGGAATGCATGAACGAACCAAAAAGAGGAGCAGGGAAAGATAATGAACAGTATAAAAAAGGTAAGATAATTTTATAAATTAAAGAAAAAGGTAGTTTGAGTATTTAGAAAACTTTAAACAGTTGGACAATAATCTTTTTCGAAGTTAACTGATGCAATACTAACAGAGGGAGTTTTTATTGCAAACTGAAGTATAAGGGATCTTTGTCACTAACCCCATAATACAAGGGGGTCTTTATAATTTGATATTAAGGCCCAAAAGTTGCCCTTCTCTTTTAGAATCCCTAAAAAAATTCCACCAACAAAACTTGTGACTGGTTGGTCCTTTGTTTAACTAGTTGTAATAAAGCTTTTTCGTCATCCAATAGCTTTTTCTGTTAAATGTTATGATCCATCAGAAGTGTTTTTTTTTTCTATTCTTTTTTTCATTTTGTTTTTATACTTTTTTTTGTAAAGTTAAAAATGTATTTATAAAGCTAAAATGTATTTATTTTTTATTTTTCATTTTTATCAATCAATTGTCCCATATTGGGTTTGATTTCAATAGGCTAAATTTAATTCATAACAGTAAGAAAAAATATTACAAATAAACGTTTTTGTTTCTATTCCTAATTCATAAAATAATGAAGAAACTTGAATTGGATTTGTGCTAAATTTAGGATTTAATCCCCTGCACTTTTGCACTCGGACAGCGATGAAAATTAAAAACAGATCATGTAATCAGCAGTACGTAGATGTGTCTCGTATTAATTTTTAGCGTGGATAATGAAAATCATATTTTAATTCGTCCCAAAATTTTTCCTTTTCTTTCTTTTTTTTTTTTTAATTTGTTTGTTTGGAGATAGGATTAACTGAACGCTATGGCTGTGTAGCGTGCTGTAGAACCAATGATAAGGCCCCACGCAGGTCAAAAAAAACGTACGACCCACAGCCATTCAAGCTCTCCCTAGCATGAACCATGGGGGTTTACCCTCAGCCATCGCATTAAACTAATCTGAATTAGGGATGTTAACAGGTCAGGTTTGGCGTTGGTTTGCCTCAACCCTAACCCGACCCTCCAGCACTCCATCCCAAATCCAATCCAGCCTGACTTAAAAAAAATACATGATTACCGAACCTGACTTGACCCTTTAGGGTTTAACTTGGTTCTGGCTTAACTTGACCCATATAATTTTAAATGTATTTTTTAACACATTTTGAAGACCTACAATATATTAATTTAAATAAAGAAATTGTTTTATAGATTTTAAGGTATTATTTTTTTCCATTAAAAAAAAGAAAATCAAAATCTACAAATAAATAAATTATAAACTTTGAGTCTATAAAGTTCAAAGTCAAAAAATTCCAAGAATACTTGGTATATATGCAAGGTATCATGACCTGGTGAGGCAGGTCAACAAAAAATCGAACCCAACTCAGGTCAAAGAATCAACACCTTAACCCAACCTTAAAACAAATATACTTGACCCTAACCTAACCCTATAGGGTCGGTTCAAGCCGAGTTTACCATTTAACCCAATTCATTGACATCCCTAATTTGAACCTAGGGAGAAAGGGTGGAATTTCTCCAAGATAATGCCTTGGCTGTGTTTGGTTGCAATGCGATTTTATTTGACTAGTATAAATGTATGGGAGTGCAAATGAAAAAAATGCAAACTTTGATTTAATTTTGTTTTGAATTTAATTACTTTATTCTGTTTTAGGTCTTATTTTACTTCATTTGTTACTACAACCAAACGAATAAGGTAGATTTTGAAACAAAAATAAATTAAAATTTACACCCAAAACATTTGTATTGTCATAGTTTTGCATCAGTGGAAATAAATTTGCACTGCAACCAAACACAGCCTTTAACAACGTTGAAAAACATGTCAAGAAAGAAATAGCTTAAATCCAGAGACCAAAACAAAAATATATTTTTGATCAGTCATATATATATAGAACAAACAGTGAACAAGTTCACTGTAATGGACACCAATTGCACAACATTTATAAGCAGCAATCCCAATTTATTTTATTTTATTTCTTAGGCTACATCTGCAGCTTAAGTAACAGAGTAGACAAAACAGTGTGGAGTGTGATCGCCAGGACGGCTTAGTTGGTTTTCCTGCAATTGGTCCTTATTTCACCGTTGCTGCCGGTGAGCGGGCTAATATTGCCCATCTTCACCATTGCGCTTGCAAAATCTGAAGAGAAGGTTGCGGAATTGCTGCTGTAAGAGCTAACTTGAGAGTCTGTGGAGCCACCATTGTAGAGCTGCTGATCCGAGTGTAAAAGTCCTTTGTTGTTCACCAAATTCTTGAAATAAGCATTATCAAAAGCTGTAGGGCTTGTAGCGTCAAGGGGAGAGAGATTGCTGTCTCCACCAGTACTCGGACAGTTGGACTTCAATGATGTCGCCAATGAAGAATTTATATTAGTCTCGTTGTAGATGCGAGACCTGAAACTTGTGCACCTAGCTTGCCCTATGGTGTGAGCTCCTATGCATATATACAAACAAATTAAAACAGAAGAAGATATATGATATATAATTAATTAAGGAGAATTAATGATCAGATGGATTCATTCATGGCATGGATTGTACGTAGTACTCAGCTAATGGAACAGAGCATTTGACAACCACTTGAATTAATTCAGAAGGACAGATGAGATGAGAATCCAAATGCTCTTGGCATTTGTACTGGTTTTACTTACCTGAAAGAGCGACCATTTCCTTGGCAGTAAGACCCTTTTTTGAGAAAGCGGATGTAAGGTCACTAAGATCCAAGGTTGGAGCAGGGATGTCGCTGTTGGCAGCACTTAGACTTGCTGTGGTCGCATCTCTTCTGCCCAACTGTACTGTCCATGAAGGCCCACCCAACTGAAACATCAAAACATGCAACACCATCGTTACCATGCAAAAATCACAAATTAGTGCTTATATATGATCGAACAAAAGAAAGTGAGGGTTTTGGCTTGTTACAGCAACAACGGAATCCCGAGCTGCAACAGCAAGAATATCTGCACAGGAAACAACACCGGGGCACACACTCTCCACTTTACTTTTAATGGTGTCGATCACATCAAACCCTCGCACTGAATTTGCATTTGCGGTTGCCGTCTTTTCCCCCGTGAAGCTCGAGGTATCGTCCAGCAGTATAGATCCATCGCATCCCTGTTTAAAACACACACATATATCGTTTGGTTTCTCCTACCTGCTAAGTATTGTATATAAATCTCTCTCTCTCTCTCTCTCTCTCTCATATTACGGACATGTACATAGAATATTCTATGTAGAGGCCCGGGTGATTCCTCCTGTCTATCTGAAACAAAAAAAAAGGGTGTTAAGGAATCTAGGGGCCGGTCGGGACAGAAATTGATCGGGATGATTTACATAGATGCATGCATGGCTCGATCGAGTTCAAAAGGGACGGGACGAAATTACTTTTCAATCTACAGTACCACACCGGGCCTATTATTTATGAATTGACTTGGGTCTATAACTCGATGATGTACTATTGCTTTTAGCTAAAACAAATGAAAGAAGAAAGTAAGGGCTTGGTGTGGTGGGTGGTTGTCAAGACTTGTGCCCTGTTAATGTTGATGTATAGGATAAAAACCAGACAAATCGATTTCGCCTCAAAATGAACCCAATCTGTGCATGAATCCGCGTTTCCAGCAAGGAAATTAGAAGTTGCATGCATGCATGGTTGGCAGCTTTAGACTGGCCATTGATATTGGTTTTCCTTTGGGGCTTTGATGAACATATATAGCTGGGTTTTTTCTATAACGAGAACGATGATGAAAGTAAATGCAGTGAAACCAAATGCTAAGTGATATAGGAAAGGACGAACCTCCTTTCGAACTGGGGAAAGTGTTGAAGACTCAGTATTGCAAAGAAAACTACGTACGTGCATGCATGGTATAAAGACTAACACAGAGAGAGAGAGAGAGACTCTCAAGAATGGAAATGTTAAATTTAAATTAGTAGGTAAGAGCGAGGCATGGACTTGCATTGACGAAACAATCGTGGAAATGGAGACGGAGCAAGGAAGCGCCCATGCGCTTCTCTTTGGCAACAGCAGCGGTCACGCCAGACTTAATGGTAGAAAAGGCTTTGGGGCATGAAGTGTCGTAGTATGTGGAGGATAGCTGAGCGGATACCATCCCCACCGAGAGTACCAACATGGCAATCACCCACAATAAGCTTATAGAGCTGGAGGAGGGAGATGCAATTGCCACTGCCATGGACTTCACGTACACAACTACCCTGCAGTACCACTGATAAAATTATTTAGCCTTAGCTGCTTATTGCATGCCTTGGAGATGCTTTGGTGTTGGTCGACTCTCTGGACTCTGGACTCGATCCCTATTTATAATAATTCTTATGCTCATATATAGTGGGCGGTTTGTGCATTTCCTAGCTACTTTATTTGCTGCCATCATCAGCCAAAGGTCAAAAAACAAGAGTACAATTTGTAAAGGTTAACTAATCTGAATCCTCCCAGTCCCACTACTCTTTTGTTTAAGTGCCCGGTCGTATCTCTTCGTCTGCACCTACACCTACTGCTTTATTATTATTAGTTCGAAAATACCCTCACTCTTGACAGATAAATACAAAATCCCAAGGGCTTCGATCGTTTAATTACTCGATCCTTCTTCTATTTTCTTCGTTTAGATGAATGACATAGCCATTGGGCATTAGTTATCCAATGCCCAAACGTCTTCCTTTTCTTTTCTGTTTAGGCTGTGTTTGGTTAATTTGAAAGAGAAGGTAGGAAAAGGAAGTTCCTATACCTTTTTCTTTTAAGCCAAATACAGCCTTAGGTGGACACAATCTCTTAGGCTATGTTTGGTTTGAAGGAAAAAGAAGGGAAAGATAAGAAACTCTATACAAAGTTTGTAAAGGTTTTCTTACCTTTTTCTACTTTTTCATTCAAACCAAACACAACCTTAGTCTTTTAGGTAGGAGTGAACCCAATCATCTTTCATCTTGAATTTGTAGGAGGAATCAACGAAACCAGCAAGAAAGCCTCGACCATTCAAGCTTTGAGTATTTAAGATTAGGTCTTAATTAGTGGTACAAGTAGTGAAATTTCGGTATTTCTTTAAAATGTCAAGGGTGTTTAATCAGAGGAGCGTGTGAACGGAACCACCACTTGGGATCTCTCACTCTCGATTTGGTGGATTTTTGGTCAATATAATTAAAATCGGTAGAAAAAGAATCTATCATCTGCTGCCTATTTAACTTCTAAGCTATCATTTGGAACCTCCCCAAACTTATAACTGTTTGTCCAACGTCAACGAATTAGTAGAACTAAGAGGTAGAAGTGCAGTTTGGGTCGGGACGGGTCGGGTCTGGATTGACTTGTCTATTACAAATGTCATCTTCATAACGTTTGAATGGTGCAAAGAAACCAAGGAAAAAACCATGGAGGCCTAAATGACCTTGCGCACTAAGAAAGCCTTTTGATATACATTTGAAGAATCCCACTCTAGGAATGGCAACAGTGACCCTTTCCCACACATGAAAATGCAACTCTCCCCAACACTACCCTCCCCTCATTAGAGGGTGGGGTGGGTTGGATGGCAGGTTGAGTCTAGAATCTACATCTAATTTCTTCTATTATTTTCTATTATATGTAATAAAATAACATAAACATAATTCAAAATTCTTAATTATTTAATTAAAACATGCAAACAATACATAAATTATCAATTATTCTTCAAATAAAATCCAAAATATTATTAAATTAAACACCTAATACATTAATCCATATTCATTCCAACAATACATAGATCAGGGAGGATTTGACTTAGTCTAATACTGTACCCTACCTATATCTATATGGGTTGTAACTTGTAAAATCCCCAAAGTCATACCCACCCCAAAATCTGTTTTTCAAGTAAAAGAACCCACCCCATGGTAGAGGTGGATACTTGGCGGGCTAGGGTAGAAATTGCCCTCCCTACCCCACACACTCCTTAAGCTTATGGTGATAGATATGGTTTGCCATTCCAGCGTCCAATCCGTGGTAATTTTAATTTCTACAATGAATTTGATTATTGAAAGCTACTTCCTCCTGTCTACCATTCAAATCTTCTATTCTTTCACAAAGTTTTATCTACAGGGTATGCTTAATATCCAAGTATATATGTATATGTGTATCTGTGTGTGCGTGTAGACTGTGGACATAATAACGCAATTAAGATAGGCCAAGGACAGCTGGTACATTAGGCTCAACCACATAATAGCTCAGTTGGTCACTTTTAGTCTGTAGTAGAAATACAATTTGGTGAGGTTGGTAGGTGTTATATTTTCGGTTGATACTTAGTTTGGATCTTACAAGCTTCTTTTTAATAAATTTCCCCTAATTAAATTAAATTAATACAGGGCAGATTAAATAAACACTGTTTTCCAAAATATTCCAACATCTTTTTTGAAAAGCTTAATTATCTTTAATCAGCCTAATTTTATTGACTTCTCATAATCCAATTAATTGCAACCTCGCATCTTGAATGATTTTTATCTTTCCGACTAATGGAAATTTATATATCAAAACTACATTTTATAATTATTAAAATAATGAAGTTGGTAGGGATTTGCTTTAACACTTTGCTAATCACAAACAAGGATAAAATTAGAGACAGTCACATAAAAAAGAATTATTAATCGCAAATTTTGAGGAGCCATGAAGTTGAAATTCAAAAAAACGTTTTCTCCACACACACACAAAAAAAGAAAAAAAGTTCAAGTGGTGGCTCCCCTAATCTTTTCTTCCTGAAATGTGAATAACTAATCCACTCCACAAATATTTTATCAAATATGCTTTCTCCTTTTCTAGAAGAGTTGGACGAAAAGAAATTCAGCGTTGTGGACTGCTTTTAACCTTTGAGGGGTTTGTAGAAAATGTGCAGTGAGGATTGAGACGTGAGAACTCTTTTGAAATTGAGGCACGCCTCCCTCTTCGGCTCTTCCTTCCTTTTTTGACTTGTGTTCACCATCTGATTTTAATATTACCGTCAACTAGTCGACTTCTGAAGTCAATCGTTTTACGCGGCAAGGATCGGATCGGAGTTAACTGCGGAGAAAGATATTACAGTTATTGTTGTATTGGTCCTCAATCCTCATACTCATAGTAGCTTTTATCTTATGGGTCATGTGTTGGGTCTGGGCCTCTCTGGACAGAAGATTTGTAGATGGGCCTAACATGGCCCCGTCCATGTTTAAATTATCGGGTATTCGGGTACCAATCTCAACTAAATTTATGGATGTAATAACAATCACTCTATTTATTATTTGGGCCAAAACTTTGGAGCTTTCATTTTATAACTTGGACAACATTTTCTCCGACATTCAATTATTGCGCATTGCATCCAGATGGTTTTCTCCATTTTGAGGACTCTAAACTCCTTTTTGGTTGCATAAAATAACATGTAGTAATAGATAGGAAAATAAAAAATGGCATCTTTTCTAATCTTTTTTAAATTACTTTCTGCAAAGAGGATCAGGGATGGACCTCTCATTCACGACATCCATGGTAACTCACCAATTTACATTTTCATATTGAACACCATTTCAGAGAAAATCATTTGTTTACCTTCATTTTTACACAAACCAAACACAGCCCTAATGGTAATTTGCAGTTTACATGAAAGTGTGAACGACCCAGCATATCAGAGTTTGGAAGTTATTTTCAATTAATTTCATCATTCTTATCATGTGTTGCTGAATCTAGCTTTGACAAACGGCTTTACTTTGATGCCTAAATACAAAATAACGTTTTTTTTTTTTTTAATTTCTGCTAGTGATGGGACTACTTCCCTTTCTTCTCATGAGCACCTTTTTGTTTTCAGTTCTTCTGGGAAATCAGAATCTTATGTGAGGTTGGTTATCTCTAGTAAATCATAAGCATGACCTTACAAGAAAAAGGAAATGTTAATCATATTCCTTTTTGATTGCTCATTTCTAAATTTGCCTCTCACTTAATAGCAGGGTTTTCGACTTTTCCCTCTATTTATGTTCTTATATGCATGGCAAAGTTGTATGCATGTAAAAAGTTGAAATATTATATTTATATTTTATAGTATTTTTTTTTTTTATGTTTGAAATGCTAGCTAGATGAACAATTTCATTATCTCAGTGGGTAAATATCAGATGTTACAATGTTTTTCAAAAAGTCCGGGCATGTTGACCAAATTCATGGATAAGAGAGATGAAAGAGCTTTTCTAGCAACATAGTGGGCTGCTTAATTTCCTCTACATGGGACTGAATTGACTGAGATAAGTGGTTCAGTAGAGCCTACCAACAGAAGCTTTGTGATGATTAAATCGTCGCCTTCTGTAATGACATGTTTCAAAGGATAATTTACTAGCAAACTGCAATCCGTGATAAAAAGCCAAAGCTTCAACCTCCATTGTGGTGCAACTTGGCGTAGGAATTGCTCGTGAGAAGAGGTGTACACCATTGTGATCTTCTTGCTCCCGCCTATGAGTTCTTGTAGCTTCATCTACATTAATTTGCACAGTGTTTGCTGGAGTTTCTAGTCTTTGATCACTCGGATTGCTCTGTAGAATTGATTCAAAAAATTTCATTAATGGGCCTGAAACTCCAGCTGGTAACTGAAAGTGACAAATATAATGCTGATAGGTTGTTCAGATTCAGCTGGTAAATGAGGTATTTTCAAGAGCCATTGCTTGGTTTGACGATAAAACCATGGGCTGACAAGCTTTGATAACAGGGTTTCCACTTTTAGGGGTGCAATTTCAATGTTCCTGAGCCCAAATAAAGTAAAATGCTAAAATGGGCCAACCCGAGTTGCACCCATAGTCACTGTGTAAAAAATTGCCAAAGGTTAGGCCACTACCAGTCTACCAACTCTAGCCTATAGGCTATAACCTGCATCATCGTTGGTTAGTGGCCTTCTTGATCTTCCATTCAATGATGTTAAACTTGGAGCACAAAGAGAACCATTTTGTGACCGGGCCATAAGTTCAATGGTTCAACCATTCAACTCTTTTAAATTAAAATGAGAAAATTTTAAAAGTTAAAATAGTTCTAGACTTTTTTTAAAGATGTTTTACATAAAAGCAAGCGTAAAACAATAAATATTAGTGAGTATACCACATCATTAATAATAATCCAAATGGGGTTATTTTACTCATAAATGTCCATTATAGTTGCAATCTCTCTCTATCATTCCTATGAAGAAAGGGTTTCTTACAGATAAGGATAACCTTTTGCCCTTAATATCAATAAAAAGTAATATTTTTATATAATAATTAAAATAGGGTAAATTTTTTGAAAAAAAAAAATATCAAGAAAGGGCACTACAAT